TAGCTCGACATAAAGGGAGAGAGAGGGGGGAAAGAATGAGAACAGCTTATTAGGTATCCTCTTGTCCTATAGTGGTTTAAGAGGATCTATATTGTGCACAAATTGTAAGCAGAGACTCTGGCAGGACTAGCTATGATAGCGTAACTAAAAGGGAAAGCCAGAAGTAACACAGGCATGAGGGCGCCTTAGGATATGCAACAGCCCACCTCTCTGCTCCCTGATACAGTCTTCATTATTATAATAAAGAGCCTGCATCTTTTGATCAAAGCAGGCATAACTAAAAGTTCATTCAGCACTTTAGATGCAAGACATGTAATATTTAGCAGTAATAGCTTCACATTAAAGGTGTTGGCTGTACATGTGTTGACCAGGATGCATTGCCGCACATACCTATCTACATGGCCTAACTACAATGTAACTGCAGTCCCAGACAAATGGGCCACTGTGGCACAGCAGACCCCACACCTTGAAAATATGGATCTGGTGCATAGGGGCAACTCCAGTGTACTGGCACGTTTGCAAAGGGTCAGACACACTCTTGAGTGTACATGCTCCGTCTACGTGTCAGTTGTATGCAGACAAGTGGAAAATTTTCTCACTATGGTGCGAAACACTAGGTATAAACCCCATATCTTTGACCATGAATGTTTTGGGGTTTTTGAGTTGAATACTAGCATCTGCTTTTGTATCTTTAAAAGTGTAACTGCTGTGTCAGCCCTGTATCAGGTGAGTGCTTTCAAGTGCTATGTGGAAATGACTGCCAGATGGTGGATCACTGACCAGCTGTTTGTGTATTTGGGAGCACCATAAAGGGGCTCTGCTGTCTAAAGACAGCTTATTACTGTACCTAGGTAGTACCCATGTATTCTGTGGTGCCCCATGAGCAATTATTATCCAAAATGTAGAATATCAGAATTTTGAGATTTTTTTTTCTTATCCTCAGTTGAGAGCAGAATTGGGAGTGATTCTCTGAACAGTATCAGCAATCAAGTGATTCTCATCCTCAACAGGGAGCAGTATCAACACTTTTAGTGATTTTTATTCTTAAGTGTTATTCTCAGTCAATACTACACTGCTCAAAAAAATTAAGGGAAATATTCAAGTTGAAACTCTTTACTTATACGCATTGTGTAATTTGTTGAGAAAAAAATGATGTCACAATGGTCAGTGGAAGCGAAAGTCATCAGCATATTGAGGGCTGGATTCAAAAGCACCCCGAAAATCAAAGTAAAAAATTTAAATTACAGGCTGATCCAACTTGCATGAATTTCATCACGGCAACTCATAATGTAAGTCAGTAGTGTGTATGGCACATGGGAGCTGCTCCTGACAATGTCAGGATGGTGTCCTGGGGGATCTCCTCCCAGACCTGGATCAGGACATCAGCGAGCTCCTGTACAGTCTGTGGTGCTACTTGGTGGCTTCGGATGCTCTGGTACATAACGTCCCAGAGGTTCTCAATTGGATTCAGGAATGGGGAACGTCAGAGCCAGTCAATGGCATCAATGCTTTCGTCATCTAGAAACTGCCTACACACTCTAGCCACATGAGGCTGGGCATTGTCATGCACCAGGAGGAACCCAGGGCCCACTGCACCGGCATAAGGTCTGACAGTGGCTCTGAGGATTTCATCCTGGTACCTAACAGCAGTACAGGACTGCACATATGGATGTGCCATCCTGAAGGAGCTAGACTACCTGTGCAAACTGATTTGGTTGCAGCTACGGCCTCATGCTACAAGTAGTGACGAGGACCCTAACAAAATGCAAAACTAGAGACAAATCAGTCAGGAAGGATAAGGAGAGCACAACTGTTTGTGGCCACCACCTGCAAAACCATTTGCTTTTTGGGGGTTTATTGCTGTTGCCTCTCCAGTGCACTTGTCACTTTCATTTGCACCAAAGCAGGTGAAACTGATTCACAATCACTTATGCTTCCTAACTGGACAGGGCGATATCTTTGAAGTTTAATTGACTTAGTGTTATACTGTGATGATTAAGTGTTCCCTTGTTGTTTTTGGAGCAGTGTATTTATTGGTGCTGTTATAAACCCTCATAATGACTTTGATATACAGACTCCTCTAGTTCTGAAGAAACCTTCCTTGGTAGTCTAAAACAAAAGGAAGTAGAATGAAAGGTCACTTGTGTTGACAAGAATGACCAGAGGACAAGTGTGTTGTAGCAAGGGCCTTTTACAGGCTACACACATGAGGTCAGGGATAAGAAGTAATGGCTTTGCTATTGGAATTCAACAAGGAAATGAGCACAAAGGAATACTCCAAGTTCAGAAGAACACTACCCTGGGGGTCATAGAGCCATGGCTACATATGTAACATATATATAATATATATATATATATATATATATATATATATATATATATATATATAGTGTGTGTGTGTGTATACATACATATATAATTGGAAAATCTGACCTTTTCTACAAAGCAGTTAACATGGTCAATATCGCAAATTTGCTTACATTTAAATAGGGACCTAGAAATAGTGCAGAATCTTGAATATTAAATATTTTGTTATATATTTTTGTTGTATATTTGTTGAATATTAAATACTTGGTTTTAGAATTTTGAAATATTTAAAACAATCTGTTTATTTCCAATTTTAAATGAAAAAAAAAAAAAAAGATTTTCAATCTGGTCTCAGACCTATGGACATACTGTATATTATACACTGTTCAGCCATAACATTAAAGCCACCTACCTAATATTGTGTAGATGAATCGGAATTGTTTGTCTAGCACAACCCACAAATGCTCTATTGGAGCATCTATTTGAGAATTTGAGATTTGAAGGCCAAGTCAACACCTTGAACTCTTCAAACTATCCATGAACAATTTTTGCAGTGTGACAGGGCGCATTATCCTGCTGAAAGAGGCCACTGCCGGTAGGGAATACCGTTGACATGAAGGGGTGGACTTGGTCTGCAACAATGTTTAGGTAGGTGGTACATGTTGACGTAACATCCACATGAATGCCAGGACCCAAGGTTTCCCGGCAGAACATTGCCTAGTGCATCGCACTGCCTCCAGTGGCTTGCCTCCTTCCCATAGTGCATCCTGGTGCCATCACTTCCCCAGGTAAGTGACGCACACGTACCCGGCTGTCCAAATGATGTAAAAGAAAACATGATTCATCAGACCAGGCCACCTTCTTCCATTGCTCCATGGTTCAGTTCTGATGCTCACATGCTCATTGTAGGGGTTTTCTGCTGTGGACAGGGGTCCGACCGGAGTGACTCAGTGACTAAGCAGCCCCATACACAGCAAGCTGCAATACACTGTGTGTTCTGACACCTTTCTATCATAGCCAGCATTAACTTTTTCAGCAGTTTGTGCTACAGTAGCTCTTCCATGGGATCGGACCAGACAGGATAGCCTGCATCAAAGAGTCTTGGGCACCCATGACCCTGTCACTGGTTGTCCTCCTTTGGACCACTTTTGGTAGGTACTAACCACTACATACTGGGAACACCCCACAAGACCTACCTCACAATTTGGCCCTTGTCTAAGTTGCTCAGATCCTTACTCATGCCCATTTTCCCTGTTTCCAACTTCGAGAACTGACTCGAGTGCCATTGTAATGAGATAATCAATGTTATTCATTTCACTTGTCAGTAGTTTTAATGTTATGGCTTGGTTTATACATACTGTGTATAATTATATATAAACACACACGTATGTCTACATATCCATGGACCCAGTATAAAAAGTTTTTTTCTTTAAATAACTATGAACAGTAAGTTTAGTCATTTCTTCTCTGTTCTCTTCACAGGTTGGGTAGAAAAAGAGACCTACTATTAATGGATATAAACTATAAACTGTCTATCAAGGTGTATTATCAAAATGTGTTGTTATGGTCTGAACAAGGGTTTCTAACTCCTGTAGTAAAGATGTCCTACTCTAATTGTTTTACTCTTTCCCTGCCTTAAAGTAACTCATTTATCTTATCAGTGCATTATCAGGGTTGCATCAATTCTTCTATGCTATTGATGTGAAAATTTATCTATGTGAAATTTCATATTTGGTATGTTGGTGATCTAAGACAGAATGCCTCATGCCTCTGTCACAAAACTTGTTCTGAAAACCTGTTGATTAACAGTATATGTGGTGCTAGTGCAGTGACATTTTAACTCTCAGGGAATAGATTAATTAGGTTCAGCATTATCTATAAAAACTTACTAAACAACTGGTATTTGGCAATGTGATGTATTTAAAAAATTAAATCTAAATGAAAACTTTTGACTATTTCAATTCACTGGGCGCAAGGCAGGAATACACCCTGGGAAACCAGTCCATCATAGAGCACCATGCATATACACCATCTCAGTCATTGTCAGATAAACTTGTCATTGATATATTAGGCCTAGGAGTGTAGGTCTAAAAATAACTTTTTGTTGTTCGTTACGGTCTGAGAGTGAATGCATATGCAGCATTGCAAAATGGTTTAATTAACTCTGTAAGTGAATTTCTTTCCGAGAGTGGATACGCAAGCTGTCGTTCAAAAGTTTCACTAGTTATCTAGTTGTGATCACTTTCAAAAATTTAATTCAGTTTAAAGTTTAATTCATTAAAATGTTAGGTTAGTCAGTGCTGGGCATAATGTTCTGTATACTAAGATCTAGCAGTAAAATGCTGGAGAAAATAAGTGTGAAAATTTCAATAAAACACAATAGAAAGTACAGATGTTGAATGTTTGTGTGTCACTATTGGTTTATTATTCCCATCTTCCAAACACTAGCCAAACAAGGCCTACCATTAAGGCCAGTGGACCTGGCACAACTAAAGCCAATCCTCCTGATTCCTCTGGAAAATTGCCAAAGTTCCCCCTAACAGAGGTCTTGTATACATCTTATATCATCATCATCTTTCAGCTGTTCCCATTAGGGTTCGCAACTTTTTGATTTGGCAGGGTTTTTTTTTTTTTTGGCTTGGGACCGGCACTGGGAGTGCACTGTTGTGTGCAACCCCAGTGGCTGAGGTCGGTTCCCTAGCCGGGAATTGAGCCCATGCCTCTACAGTGTGAGTGCCATGGCCTAACCACTAGTCCTCCAGGGATCTGTTGTATATATCTTGTATGTATCTTATTCTCAAATAGTTTAGTTATTTCCTTTTCATTACTGTAACCTGCTGCTAAAGCTCAAGAGCTGAAAGCAATTTGATCATAGAGGTGCATCTCTCTATATTCAATGTCAAATATATTAAATTTGCAATCAATCTGACAATCTGTTTAATCTTAGTGGGTGAGAACTGTTACTATGTATCTTGCTATGGCCCTTTAAACCAATGCCATTTGAGAGGTTTGGAAGCCAAAAAACCTATGTGCAATTTCTTAGGAATAAATTATATATGATAAAATGCATTTTCTGTTGGCTTGTTTCATTCATCTTCATTAACCACAGTATCCTTGTCAGGGTTGTGGTGGATCTGGAGCCTATCCTGGGAACACTGGGGGTGAGGTGGAAATACACCCTGGATAGGATGCCAGTCCATTATAGGACCACATGCACACTCACATTCATATACACACACCAAGGGGAAATTTAGCATACTCATTTTTGAGGTTGGGAGGAAACCCCCGCAGACACGGGGGAAAAACTATAAAAACCTGAGCTCAGGATCAAACCAGGTACCTCATAGGTTTAGGGTCCTGACACTATCCTCTGCACCACCGCTTATGATATAAATAATAAAATGATTTATTTAATAAAATAATTAAATAAATTTTACTAATCTCATTATAAAATATTTCATTACACTCATTTTCACTAAACTTCTGTTTTTATTTCAAACATTTTGAAATTTATTTCAAAATGCCCTTTTTCATTTCATAATCAGACTTTTGTTTCATAATGTTTTCATTTATTTCATTCTTTTTAGTTGAAGTGTGGGGGAAAGTGTTACCTGCTTGTTCATATTGATTGCACACTCAACTGAGTCTGTGATGGTAGTGACAGGCACTTCATACCATTCTGTGTATTTTTATGGTGATAATTCTGATGTGGATGCCAAAAATTAAACCTTAAATTGTTTTTTTTTTTTTTTAAACAGAGAGCTTAGCCTTGCTAGCATGTTTATACCAGCTGCCCCTGTGCCTGGGCATTTATAAAAAAAATCTTTGATGTAGGTTCAAAATAGCATAAGTTGTAAAATCATGTCTATCTATTTGATCAGCTAAAGAAATCATCATATTTTGATCAAGGTCTTCCATGTGGTTCCCTCTGCAGGAACGGTAGGTATAACTTTGCAGCACAACTTTGCTAGCTGGTAATCTTACGCTAGAAACATACTGCCTGCAGCAGGCAGAATAATCCATGGCAAAGGATTAGCCAATCACAGAATAGGTTCAGCCCCATTTATGTTGACTGGCAGATTACAACAGAATGAAATCTGTGTAATTATGAAATAAAAGTCTCATTGTGAAATGAAAAGAAATGTCATTTTCTTTAGGAAAAAAAGCCACTTTGATTTAAAAACCTGTTATAAGATAAAAACAAAAAAATGAATAATGATGAAATAATATTTTATAATATATGGTCAATAATGAGGTCAGTGTTTTTTTTTTAAAATTTCAGTGTATTGATCCATTTATATACTTATTGCTACATTTACTCATTTAATTATTTATATACATATTTATTTATTTAATTTAATTCAGCATTCGATACATTATGGCTGTTCTCACTAGTTGTACATTCGAGAACTACTTCTCACAAATAAATACCCACTTACAATATCACTGGAAGGCATAGTTCTATGATACATATTTTAATCTCACAATACAACATACTCCTGCGTGAAAGTGTCTGTCTATTAATGGGGGTTTCAGTTTCTAGTATTAAATTACTTAAATTACAAGCAGTAATTACAGGAAGCACACAAACCAGAATCAACCATTTCAAGGATGCATTGTCTTAGACATCCCCCACACAGGCAATAGCATATGTCCGTTGAGGGTGGAGAACTCTGTCTTTTAAACATGGCTGAGGCAAACCAAACAAACCAAAAGATTAGTGACACATTTTCTAAATGTAGTGGAAGAGGTCTTTTTTGCAGAACAATGGAGTCAAGGGTATCTGCCAATATCCCTTAGTTAAGTTCATGGTGGAGTAGAGTTCTGTGAGGTTATTATGACCAGATATAGGCAAAAACATGTTAGAAACCTTTTGTTGCAGCCGTGCCATCTTTGCTCTCCGGGATGGGTAGAGGTGGTCTCTACTGGAGACCAGGGTAGCCAAACCTTTTAGGCTCACCTCTGGTCCCAGCTCCTCCCTCTCAGGAACCATCATTGCCATAGAATCAGGGACCTAATTTCTCCATGGATGGTTTAATGAAGTGTTATAGAAGTGTTATATTTGCCATGTATAGCCTCTATCAGATTGTCAGATCATAGTTCAGATCCCAACCCACTGTGTAATATCAAAGAGTAATTTAAAGCCTGATCCGAACAGCAAAATGAGTACTTGCTCTCCGAGAATAAGCTCTCATTGCTGAGTGCTCCATTATACAGCTAGTATTGCCATTCCTGGGCCTGTATCAAATGCTCCTGTTTTATGATTTGTACTTTATCGATTTTCTTATTTGCAGACAAATGCGGTATGAACGATCGTACATGACATATAACCAACCCACAAAAACATGCATAAAACAAAACATTAGTAACTAAATGGTAACAACATAAAAGGTGAGTAAATACAACAGTATAAAGTAAAAAAAAAAAAAAAAAAAAGCACTGGGGTATCTACACCACAACTTTCCACTATGAGCTAAATAAAATTCACTATGAACATTATTTTGTCTCGTCACATGTTACTACTGCTATGGATTACAGAAATTCAAAAAATTCCCCCATTTCTCAAAATAAATATCAATCCTCCCATTCAAACTATAGGAGAGTTTTTCAAGGGCTGCCACCCGTCCTAAATCCGAAAGCCACTCAAAAATCGGAGGCCTTCCGGAAGATTTTCAGTTTTTCACAATCACACGTCTGCCCAGCATGATGCAGCTCTGTATCCACTCTGATTCAGTTTTTTTAACATGACTTAAAGGCTGAGGGTCACCAAGAATGTATAAACTAGGACAGAGATCATACTGGGTCTTTGATATCTTTAAAATATAATCGTGCACCTCTCTCCAAAAGTACTGGATTTCAGAGCATTGCCATAAAACATGAAATAGGTTACCCTCTTCTCTCTGGCATTGCCAACATTCAGAATTATCCTTAAAACCTGCTCTAAACAGCCTTCTGGGTGTCCAATAGAATCTGTGTAAGATTTTAAATTGTATAAGGCGTGTTCTAATATCTCTGGACATCAATTTTAAATTCCCAGTGATCCTCCCCATTCTTCATCTTCAAATGTGCATCCCAAATCTTTTCCCCAGATTATCCGATGTATCAATGTATCTATCCAGTGTAATGCCAGTGAAATATGGGGTTCCACAAGGATCAGTTTTAGGACCTCTGCTGTTCTCAATTTACATGCTTCCCTTGGGTAACATTATTAGAAGACATGGGATTAGTTTCCATTGTTATGCTGACGATACCCAGTTATACATCTCATCAAAACCAGATGAAATAAATAAATTGTCTAGATTAACTGAGT